CTCTTCAATAAAGAAATGAAAGGGTAGATAAGGATCACAGAGAACCTACCTCACCATTCTCTGGCTGCAATCCCCCAACAATATCCTTCACTAAATCTTCCCTGTTCCCAAGCACCCACTCACTGAATATTATCAAACCACAAATAACAGAGTTAGAAGATTAAAATAACTGGACTAAAACAGATTTTTCTAAAGCTTCCCACAAATTCATCTTACAATCCTGGGGGAAATGTTTTTGCTCAACTATATCGAAAACGGAGGTGACTTTTTGATTAATAGACAGACTAATTGACAAGGCATTCTAAAGTCTGAACCAATCAGATCTCTTTTGATAGGTACAAACACCGCAAACATAGCACACCTACCGGATACTGAAATTAATTGGTAAAGGTTAAGAACTTGACATCCTATTTACCCTCAAGAGCCAGAAAAGAGAAGGCAACTTACTGCCACCTAAGAAAATTTGCATAAACAATTACCTTGTGCAGTATATCTGAGTATGGGGTCGAAGGAGATTTGGAACTTTGACAAAAGATTCAAAGGGCGTTGGAGCAAGAGGTGCATCACCCGGTCCTACAGAGAGAATTAGACTATTTGAAAAACTTCTTAAGTAGGTAACCAATTGTTAAGTTCTGAGCCGTGGTTCATATTGCCATAATTTAACCCAGTCAGTTCCCTTTTCATCAACACACAGAAGTAAATATCCTTAAGAACCGTACTGAACCATATCAGACAGCCACCACACCAACATGAGAAGCGCTTAATATTAATGAACTAGATTATTGGCTGCATAACCACATAATTTAGGATATTGATCAGCATACTGACACAAATTACATTTATGATTGACCGACTTTGGAGCTCATTTCAATACGAAGACAAAGCCATGATAACCAATAAAACCGAACCCCACGGGAAAACAGGAAATAAATTTGAGAAACAGAGAATTAATTGGCACATGTGAAGTTCCAGAATCATACCACAGTAGTACGTAGTCAAAACACGAGCATCTGGGGCATAGGCGTAAATCTCACTGGCCATCTTGCGAACGTTATCAAAGTGCTCCATGTTCAGTGGCTGCCAACAGTTTTAAATGGTAATAAGAAAGCTGTCAATAAGTAATTTTTCAACTAAATAAGAAATCATATTACACCAAGGATGGATCAAAATGGTATAAATTTTTCATATTATCAGCCACTGGCAATACTATCTCCTATTGATAATCAGTGGCAAAATTGATTGACACACTATGATACCTCATCCCACAAGTAAAAGTAAGCTTTGTTCCAATAGGGTTTACTCCTCAATATCTCAACTTCTTTCTGTAGGTAAATTTCCCTTGAATCATCCCTGCGTGCACACACATCAACATGGTGATGAAAGTTAGTTTGGGTGCCAAGGGCACTTAACAGAAGCTTGATTGGGATAACACATGCATACCCTGCTATAACTTGTCTATATGGTACTGCATAAGCCGCAAGCCTCGGATCAGAAAAATATTCATCAGACTTTGGATGATCAGCTGCGAAACAATAAAGTGAAATGCAAAGGGAGAACTCAGAGTGTGAAGCAAAATTATCGGCTTGTGCAATGCAAGACATATACAGATGGTGCATGAACAATTCCAAAGAGGATTTGCAATACCAGGCCATGGTGAGGTGTATGTCAAGACACGCATGCTTTCACCCCATCTGCAGAAGTATGGACTAATCCGATACTGAAGAAGCCACTTGAAATGAAGATTCAATTTCTCGTACCACTCTTCACTTCCATGTTCAACACCAAAACGATCCTCAATTACAGTATCAGAGACGCCAATAACAGCAGGGAGTGATGGAGTCACTGGAATAATAAATTCCCAAACTGTCAACCGTAGCTTTATATGCACTGCAAGGTTTGACACAACATCTTCTTCCATCATATCACTGGATCCATTCGTAGAAATGAATTCCGCAAATGATGGAGAGAAGAGAATTCTTCTTAATGATGAACTTGCACATTTTATTCTTTCTACCTAAAAGATAAGCTGCAGATTATTGACACGTAAATATTTATTTTCGCCTAGGTCAATAAAATACAAGGAAAGTGAAGATTACCACTTCATCCATGGGTTTTCCCTCTATTGGTTCCATAATATCGAGACAGTTCTTAAGTTCAGTACATAGCTGATCCTTCTCGTGCTTTCCCAAGTCTGCAGAACAGCTGTAACCAACCATATAATTGGGCATCAGCGCGTCTTTTTACACAACACACGACATCAAGAGAGCTGTGAGCATTCTAAAGTATATAGAAGATATGGTATATAGAGGGAGACTAACCCTCCATCCATTTTCATTGCAGAAACAGTGATCTCTCCTTCATATTGACCAGGAGGCTGCCCATTAGGAACGTCTATTGAGACCCAAATCGCACTTGTTTCTCTACAATAAGTAGCATCCGAGACTACATCAGTCTAATGAAATAAGACAGCAATGTCTCCACACATCAGATTAAGAATTAGGATGAGTGAGGGGTAGTACCCTGGAAGTAGGCTAAGTTGAGTGACAGGTAAATCAAGAGGCACCAGAGCGTCAGGAACACCTAAGACAGGCACCACTCGCCGCAACTTTAGAGACTGGCCAACAACCAATCTGCCATGGTAAAGAAGAGAATAATTATACACAGATAAGAAGGGATAAAGCTGCGAAGAGAAGAACCCATCTCAATTTATGAAGATATCTCACTAGATCTGTCAAATATCTTTTATGTTTGCCTTCTTAGGTCTCATGAGTAGTCCTGGTAGTGATCTCCAACGAAAAGGATTGACAAAAAAGCACGTTAAAAAAGCTCACCTATCTCCAGCCGAAGAGCATAAGTCACTGCACTGAACCTGAACACTCCCTGAAGGGCTGGAACCAGCCCAAGAAACTTTGGGACGCATGGCAATCTGAAAACTTTCTCTCTCGTTTCTAGCCGCCAAAAGATTTATCTGTAAAACACAAAATGGAATTCATATAAAACACATGGCTTGTTTCATTGGAAAATGACGATAAAGAATCACTGGATTCAGTTCAATTAGTGATTAGTCCCTCGAAAAGACCTCTACTGTATCAACCCCACCTTTCTAACATTTTCAAAGAGTAGAAACAAGGTATCATTCCACTAAAATATGTACAGCTTGCTTAGCAGCTACACTAGCAATGCCTATTCAAACCAAATGTTCGGTAACAGCTCCCTTTTCCATAATGCTCCGTTTACTATTTTCTAAAATCTTACGTTGAGCTTTCAGCTATTCAAAGGTACAAAGTCTTTTGGTCCAGAAAAGTTCCAAACTTTTGGTATAGAAAGACAGTTGCAAGCATACAGCGGAAATAAAGCATCGGACAGAACGCTTACAGGCTCGAGAGGTCGAGGTGTTTCCTGTGAACCAACGTTAATTGAATTTGGCATACACCAGACATTGACCAAATCAGCAGTTGGAACTTCTGCAGGATCTAAAGATTGTTTAAGAGGTTCTGCGTTCAAACCACCATCGTTAAATCCATAAGCCGTCCCTCCACCAGCCACCCCTTCCACTGGCACAGTCATATCTTGAGATTCTACAAAATTCTTAAAGCGATTAAAATCCCTTCAACAATCCACTTGTTCATCTATACTCAAAACTCCAAGAAACTGTTCATATATAATCTAATTCCACTTCCCTGAGAGAAATTGAAATCTCCTGAGACCATCCCTTAGTTAATCCATTGACAAATCAATAAGCAGCAAACACTATAACCGAGCACATAATGTTCAACAAACACAAACACAATGAAACTTGTGAGGAACCAAAGGATCATATGAGTTGGTAGTAACTACATGGGCTTTATAAATCCATTTCACAGCTACGAAATCGAGACCAGTTCTTTGGTATTAACAAGCAAATAGCCTGATTCTTCCTCTCTGACCACTTCCACGGTTTGGAAATTTGTAGAAGGTTATCGCAGAAAAATTGAAATACAAGGGAGAATTGTGCAAGTGAAGATTAAAGAAGACGAGAAATGAAGACTAGGAAGAGCGATTGTTAAGATGTACGGAAGAGAATCGAATCTTACCATTGTTGTCCATTTTTATTTTCTGGAGATTCTTCTTCTTCACGAGTTCAAGAGACGACGATTCATCTGAATTTACGTTACTCCGTGCGTGGCTGAACGGAAAAGTTCCCTTTAACGCCTTTTAAGCTTTTTTTTCTTTTTGGTATTTGCAAAAATGATTATTTTT